CAGGCGGGGGCCAGGAGCCGCCGCGGCCTTCCCGACGGGCTGTGGGTGCGCAGACCACGGGCGCCCGCGCTCGGCTTCTCCTCCGCCAGGCAAACCCGGCGCTGGAGGTCTTGTCTTTCCCATCGCCCGGGGTAAAAGCTGAGGGGGTGGTTTACAGGTGAGACAGGAGAGTTAGGGTTTCGTTGTCCTGAAAAGGGTTTAGGGGAGTGACATTCGTCGTGAAGCTGCCAATTTAATTACTCCGCTACAGTCAGGGTGGCAAAAGCTGGGTGTGTACACAGCACTGAGAGACACCTTTGGTTTTCAAATTTAATGTGCACGTGCCACCCAGAAGTCTTTGGCATAGAGGTTCATAGTGAAATCTTACTTATTTTGGCCAGCGTTGGGTTGGTTTTCATTACTAAGTAATTCTAAATGAGCAACAGAGCTACTTTATAGTGCTGAGCGTGTCCAAGTGCTGCCCTAGTTTGGTCTCCATTGCTGTAGATCTTACTTTATGTAGAACTGGGAACCTAATGCCTGTCTTTGGGTAGGATCACCAGCCATTTTGATTTCTTTCACCAAAGGAAAGTTTGCACCCAGTTGTTAAGAAACTCATTTTTAAGTAGAGGAAATACCGGCGTGCTACTAAGACAAAATGAGTCCCTTTCCTAGACTAGAAACAGAATAACTTCACGTGAATGCTGACGGTTTGTGTGGATGTATATCAAAGTAGAATTTTGAAGTAAAAAATTTAATTTTAGAGAGCAAATGTATTTAAGCAAACAGATGTCTTCTATTTCACTTACTACTTCCACAGGCAGACGAGCTTCTGCATATTTTCAAGAATTGCCTCAAATTGTCCTTGTCACAATAAATTCTGAAATAAATCACATGATTCCTTGCTTATCATTCTGTAATCCAACATTTTCAGTTTGTCAGAGCCAGTTTAATCTGGCTAACATAACCATGGAGAAGATAAAAATGCTGGCAGCTGGCGATATTCAGCAACTTGTACAGATACATTTGACAAGTCATTGGATGACACCAGAAAAAATAAAACAATGTTTTCTTTGGAGCAATGCAATCCTATTTTCTCTCTTATTTGTTTCAGAAAAGAGCATGTGTGTGCTCCAAGAGTCTGTTAACTGTTTCAGTGTATGTTATGTGGTGGGGCCAGTATTTTTCCATTTTTTCCGAATGAAAAGAGCAATTTGCCCACGCAGTTAAAAGTACTGAAAATAATAGTATCACCACCATTTCTTTTATAAGAGAGAAATACCTGAAACCTCCAAGGTTAGCCTGGAAGGTTACACTGCTCACCCTCTAGTACAGTAGTTGAACTTTCCACCGTGTATTTGGATCACAGGAAATACCAGGTGCCGGAGCAGCTGCAGGAAAACCTGGGAGAGACCAAAGGGGAGATAGATGTCCAGTAACCGTGTGGGGCTGCTCAGCAAAACTCGCCTCGGACTGAAACAGCCTGCTTTCGACAGAAGGCTAAGTGGCAGAAATTCAGAGACTTTGAGAAGCCGGTTTCTACCTTACTAAGGGAAGTCTGTCAGGGATACACTGTTTCCACTAGGCGTGTCTTGAGCACCTACTTTTAGGAAATACAGCATGGTTTTTATATGCTTCTCAGTATATATTTTTCCCAATGATTTATACTTTTGCTGGATTCTTGTGCTTGTATGAATTTAAACAGAGGCATAGCACCTGATCAATTTGCAAAATTTGTCATGCATTTTATGGGCTTTCATAAATTTTAACCACTGTGTACATCAGCTTTTATTGTCTGGGCCTGTATGGCTCAGCTGGTTCACTGCTCATATACGTGCCTTATTATTTGTGTTACTTGGACTTTTGTGTATGTTAATGAATATTACAGACAAGAAAATTAAAGTCTGAAAACAATCAGAAAACAGATTTTTTCATTATAATTTTAGAAATCGTGAGTTAATATTCTTAATGTACACCCAGTGCAAGCATTGCTAAAAATGCAATCTCTCGCTTGCTTGGCTTGGTGAAATTCTGAGTATAAATTGAAGCCGCTTCATGGTGTCTTGATGGTGGATCCATGGTTCCTGGAAATACCTACTTAGCTGCCATGTTTGTGTGCTTGAACTATGCTATAGTTACATAAATTGTATGTGTTAACTTATAGCAATGATGTCAATATATTGGCCATACTGGAAGACTTAATTTTCTGTTATGCATCAAGAATCCATCCATTCCCTTAAAAAGAGTGAACACTAGATAAAGGTAGAGAATTTTTCCACTCTTTTATCTGTCATTTAGCTACTCAAGCTGAAAGTAAACACATTTACTTCCTCTTAAAGTTTGGTGTCTTCGTGTTCACACCTGACAATTAAATTTATGATGCTTTAGTTAGACTAGTCACTTCTTTTATTCTGAGTAAAGTTATTTTTGTGTAGGTTTCTGCTTTTTAAATAAGTGAATCCATAAATCCTGTGGGTATTTTGGCAAGGTTTTGTGATGAACCGGTCCATTAAGAACCAAGGGGCTAGATTTGCAGTAGCGCTCAGCACTGCTGAAAATCAAGTCCTCGGGTTATTCCAGTGCTTTATCATTTATTTTTTCCTCTTTTCTTTTGTTCTCCTGTACAGCCTCACCTCATGCCTTCTGTCTCTCACTTGTCCTTCTTTGATTGCTATCATATCTTGTTCCTATCCTTAGGCTCTTTTGAGCTTTTTGTTTCAGAAACTTTTCCTGTATTCTAGATGCTTTGTCTTCATATTTCGTGACCTTCCTGTTTTTAAGCCTTTCTTCCCTAAACCTTACCTGTTATTATGAATCTCATATCCATAGATTTCTACTCTGTTTAACATCAGTTATGGTGTGCTTAATTTTTTTTTATATTAAAATCAATCGATTTTAGCCACAGATAAAATCATGTCTAATGTCCTGAAGAAGAGGAATATGAAGTTGTAATAAAATCAGACGTTATCTAAAGAATTGCACTCTTAAGGTTTGACAGAATCAGTTGATTAAAAACAAACGGAGACATAGTCACTTTGAAGTTACATATTTTATTTGGAGGAAAATAGGAAAGAAAGACTACTTGATTTGGACATGTTCCAGTTGGTCACACATCAAGAAACTAAATTCATTGTGAGTTGTCCTATACCATCAGGACAGTTCTCTGTTAATCAGAACAATGTATAAACTGAGAATTTTCTGTAGGACATACCAGTTTTGGTAAAAAGGCAAAGACTTTTCAAAATAATTCTTAGGAGGAAAAAGGAATTCTAGGAGAGCAAAAAGTATTTAAAAACTTTGAAAAAAAATGTTAACTTGTACATGTAAACCCTGGCTTACATGCAACAAATACACAGGGATTCTTGTGATTTTTTGGTGGTTTGTGATTCTTTTTTTACGTCTTCTTGTCCCCATTTGTGTGTTTGTTCCTTCTGTTGTAAGTCATGTTCCTTTCTCTGCACTTAGCAGGGGCAACAGCAGAACAGGATATGTGTTTGCACACCTTTCCCAAACCTATTTGGACTAGTCTGTTTACATCTTCCTTCCAACGTATTTGTTTTTAACACAGTGAAATGGAGTGGCTGCATATCCTATTCTTGCATCCCTGGCCTAGGGGAACTTACGGGACTGAGGTGCATGCATAGGGGCAGTAACGCTGCAATATAGCATGTGGTGATAAAATCTTCCATTAAGTGTAAAAATTGTAAATATTATAACAGTTCTGCAAAAAAAGGCCAAGAATTTCAGTGTGTTACAGTTAGTCAAGTCAAATGTTATGTTTACAAAGAAAAAAATTTGAAAGAAAAAATTACAGATATAGACCAGATTTTTTTTTTTAATGCAACAAAAATACATGTGGCATTTAAGAGAACTA